ATATATATATATATCTTATATTCAAAACTGAGAAGATGATCAGAACGATGGAAATTTTATCAGTAGAAAAGATAGATAAGAACTTCTAAGTCAGGATGTTAAAGTGAACTGCAAGGCTATTCTTTTATGCACGCAGTCATAAATGTTTAGTTCATATTCACGTTGCCATCTATACAGCCTAGTTATATGATTGCTTTCCTCCTTTATGTAATATAAATTCTTTCGGGATGGGGACAATGTTTTATGCTTAAGCTTATTTTGTAATATTAATGTTAACTAAAATAGTGCTATATAGGAATATATAATTCACAGAAATACATTTTTGACAGAAAAATGGATTATCTTCTTATTTATCTTCTTTCTGGTGTTTGAGTACTTTCTCCAAGTAGACAAGTAGACTGTTGAATATTTTCAGTGATGGACAACCCAAATATTTAAAGGCTACAGGCATGTTTTCATTTTATCTTAGGATATTGAATTAAATTTATGAAGTTGATGTTTAATGGTTTGTGCATAATTATGCATATATATATATATATATATATTTCCCAAGATATAAAATCTGTCTGTTAGAGCTTAAGCTATCTAGCAACCATTGATACCTCTATTTATCTATCTATATTTACATGTAAAAATGAAATATGTCACATGAAATATGAAGAGAAATGTTCTTCTGCCACTAGCATAGTGAAGGATGAGCCAGTGTTTTTGTGTTCCTCTTGTGTGTTTAAGACAGTGTTCAGGACCACAAGGAAAAGAAGCTCTGACAGATGTTACGAAGATCATATTTTATTATTACTTATGATTCCAAATATGTTTTCTTCTGTTGAGAATTTTTTGGTTCAGATTATTTGTTTGTTAGAAAAAATCATCTTATACTGTTTGAGTATATGTTCATTTCACAGAGCAGAGATCCTGAACTCTCAGATCCATGTGAGGCCCTTGGAGTCCTTCTAATCTAATCCCTTTATTGCAGATGAGTTTATGTGGTTTACCTGAAGTCACATAGTAATTAGTCACGGTGCAGAGACAAGAAGCCAGTTCTCCTCACTCTTAGAACTCCTCTCTCTCTCTCTCCTAATTTCAATTCATAGGTTTTAACCTTCAAAAAGAGTCATCTTAAGAAGCAAGATGATTTATTCAAAGTTCACTGATCCTTTCCTCTCTCTTCCTTTTTTCCCCTCTAGCCCTCTTCAATCTAATCCCTGTGGGCCTGCGTGTGGTGGCTATCCAAGGGGTGAAGGCCAGCCTCTATGTGGCCATGAATGGTGAAGGCTATCTCTACAGCTCAGTAAGTACCCTGTCGTGTGTGTATGTGTGTGCACGCGCACATAAACTGGCATGGAGAGTAATGAAGTAGCCGTTATTTTAGGGAAGAAAATTACAAGTTGAAGTCAATGTATATTTTCTGACCCAGTATATCAGGACTATTATGAAGATTTTATAATTTACAATGTTAAAGATCACGCTCTGTTGAGAAGGAGCTAGCAACTCTCCATGTGATACAAATTCTCTTTTTCTGTCTTTCACTTCTAGAGGATGATCTTTTGAATTTTACCTTTCTGTTTAATTCAAGAGCTAAAACATTTTTTCCTTTCTCCTGTTACCTCTCCTTTAAGCACAGAGGATGGTTTAGGAAGCTAAATTCTTGAATTTGTCTGGGAGTCTTCTCTGGCTTGTTGTGGAGAAAAAAAACTTTCAGAATAGACTGTGTTTTTGTTTGTATTTAATAGAACTGTGTAGTACCTAATTTGTCAGATTCCTGGGATAACTGGTCACTTTAAAGACATGTGAACTGATGGAATGAGCTTTGGATTAGGGGCTGGGATATTTGAGTTTTATTTGCATTTCAACTACAATATTCCTTTGGGAAAGTGGCCTCCTCTCTTTGACTTAATTTCCAAACTTTTAAAATGAGGGTGTTGGACCCCATGTTGTCTAACATCTCTTTTGAATCTAAAACTAACAAAATAAGGTGGCATCAGTGGCTACATTATGAGCCCTGACATATTTTAAAGTAGTTAATGGTCCCACTCTCAAGATAATAATTTATGCATTGAGAGAATGCAGCTGCACTGAATCTTCTGTATGTATATAATTCCTGCTCTGTCCTAAGGGAATTGCCTATTTGTAGTTCATGAAGAAATATTCTTAAAAATCATGGTTACAGATTTCCACCCTTGCTTTCTATGATCTCACTAAATAAGACAAGGTTATTCAGGAAGTTCACTTATGCCCACTAGATTCTCAATTAATTATTGAATAGCTTTTATTAAACTTTTTCCACAATCAACTAAATGAATCTCTGGTATCCTATGCTTGCTTACTAGTAGTACAGCTGTCATTCATATTAGAATTCTTAAAGATGCCATTTTACTCTTGAACATATTCACCTGTGAATATGCATTTATATATCAGATGTGTACATACACATTTTTTCAATGGTCTACTCAAAATAAATACTTAAAGATAGATACATTCTGGTCAAATGGTCAAACCAATGGGCTTTCATTTTTAATGTGTCATAATTCTAACATTTCTTTATGTCCAGTTATTGTGAATCTATATTTTAAGTGTGAGAATTAAAATAAGAAAAGGACAGTTACTGTTTTGAATAATTCCAGTTGGTTAAACTTCTTTTTAAAAAGTTTTGAATGCAATACAAACCAGAATATTTAGGTGATCTTAGGATAGTTATTGATTTAAGAATTTAATCAGTCATCAAGTAAACAGCTAAAGGTAGACTATATATTTAGAAGGTTGTTATTCATTTTTATATTTATTTAAAAGGTAATAATTCTGGTTGTAATTCTACAAAAACAGTAGAGTTCAGATTTCTGAACCAGAGTTCGTTTCCAAAGGTCTGGGAAGAAGAAAAACACAGATTATCTGACAACAGTATTGTAGCAGGTGGCAGCTGTATAGGAGCCCGTGTGTGAGTGTGTGTGTGTTAAGGGGGTGCAGGCAGGGAGGGGTCCCTATTGTTGGGTGCAATCCCAAAGTTCCTGGGAGAGGAGCCTGGGTATTCAGCATGACATAACTGAACTTCATATGTGGCAGCATTTTTAGAGATACATTTTTTCTTTTTTTCTTGCTCGGAACTAGGCTTAAGATACAGGGAGCCCATAGGAGAGGTTTTAAGAAATTCTTGACTAGAGAATTTTACTGTAGGTACATTTTTGTAAAGGATCTAACACCTTAGTAAAACCAATAATGACCTGTTGAATTACCTGTTTTCAGCTTTCCTCTTCACTTAAATCAAATTTGCCTCATACCAAGAATTGCAACTCTTTTCCCTGTATGGTACTGTGAGGCTACTGGAACAATTCTTGTTAATTATAAGCTTGGCCTCACTGACATTGAGCATACGGCTCCCTACTTTCAAAATCACTCTCTTTCTGGATAGGACTAACAGTATGAAATTCTGGTTTTTAATTTTAAGCAGGGGCATAGGCCTGAACATTTTGTTATAGGACTAAAGGGGGCCAATGTTGGGAGAGACAGACCTGAAAGAGAATTGGGTATCAAGGCTTCATCACACTGGTTTTGCTGCTTGTCTGTGTGGCATGTCTCAGCAAGAGAGCACCAGTGTGGCCAGGAACCTTGTGGGGAGTTAAAAACAGGATGTTACAGGCTTTTGTGATGTGCTTTTGGTATATGTTAAGGCTTGAAGTTATTTGAAAAGCAGTTTCCTACTTGATGTTAAACAGTGTAGCTGAGCACACCAGTAAGGCCCATACCTGGAATTATGGCGGGGGCAGGGGGACTGGTGGTGTGTGTCTGAAGGCAAACCCTAGAGGTCCTAAAGAAGCTAACATGGAATCCAAGAGAAATTCTCAAATGGTATCATTTATCTAGTGGCATTCACCTTGTCTGTATTCATATTTAAGCTAGGAATTAACTCTCCAGTTACTTCTGATTCCCCCTCACCCCACCCGCTTTACCAGGAGTCAAAAGAGACAGTAGTAAAGACCCAGTGACTGTTAGGTAGCATAGAGCTAAAGTTTCCGGATCCATTCTGAAAATATTTTAATAGGTGAGTTTAATCCATAAGCATTTAATGAGATTGTTGATGCATCTAGATTTGTTTTTACCCTTATAGTTTGCTTTTTATTTTGCTTCTATTTTCTTCTTTATTTTCTCACATTACTGAAGCATTTTCCTATTCTATCTTTATTCTTCTGCTAGTTCGTAAACGTAGGTTATAATTCTAGTGTTTTAATGATTTAGACTTTTTTAACAGACATACATATGTATATAATTTGCTAAATAATAAAACATATTATTTATTTGTCATTCTTCCAAACAGCTTATAGACCTTAGTATGTTTTCTTGCTTAGTAAACACCACCACCCTTCTCACCAATTGGATTATTTACACTTTAAAATTAATATGCACAGTTAGTTATTATTCTATACTAAAAGTTACATTTATCAATCTTTAAAATAATTTCTGTGCACGCAGGTTTTGTTTTTGTGTTTATCAAATTCGGTCCCTCTGAGTTTACTTTTCTTCTAAACAAAATCTCCCACTGTTTTCAGTGTGTGCGTCTGTAGATGGTGAATTCCCTTCGTTCTGGTATCCATGAAAATGCCTTCCTTTCACTTTCACTCTTGAATTACAGTTCTGATAGTTACACAGTTCTTAGTAGACCTATATTTCCCCCAGCACTTTGAAAATTATATTCTATTGGCTTCTGGCATGTACTGTTGACTGTGAGAAGTTTGCTGTCAGTTTAATGTTCTCTCCTTTGTAGGTTATCTATATGGAAAATTTTAAGGACTTTTTCTCTTTATACTTTATGTTCTGCAAATTCACTATAATGTCTAGTTGTAAATCTAATTAAGTTATCTTGTTAGAAATTCAGAATGCACTTTCAATCCAAAGAATCAGACTTCTCTAATTCTGGAAAGTTTTAACTCTTCCCATTTACATATTATTTCTCTGTTATACTTGCCAGTCTCTTGTGCTGATAATATTTAAATCACTTTCACTAGAAACTTGCAAATTTATCTGCTCTAGAAATGATGCCATCTGTTTTGTGATTTCAGTCACTATGCTTTAAATTTTTGGATGTTTAATGGTTTCCATTCCATATCTACCTGATCTTGATTGATTTCTTCCTGTTTTTACTATCTGGCTCTTTTTACAGAAAGTTATTAACTCATTTATCTCTCTGAGCTTTCTTATAATACTTGTTATACTTTTCCATAAAGTTAGTTTCTTTTGTAATGAATTCATGTTTCAATTGTTGAGTTTGTTGGCTGTCATTTTTAGAATTAGACTGAGATTATATTAGACTTTAGAATTTGTTCTGCATGTGTTTGGAATTTTGGTCTGTAGGCCCATTTCTCTCTTTCTTTCTTCATGATCTTCTTCTTTTGAAGTCTGCCCTCAATTTCTAGCAAATTTTTGGTTGCTGCTATCTGACCTCCAGTGGTCCTAGTTTAGAATAAGATTTTAAGAGTCATTTCAAGGCTGCATCCTAGGGTAACACTGGGGTTAGGAAAGGGGGCCTGGGCAAGGGTATGGCTTGGTCTTGTTTCTCTCATTGTGAGTCTATGTCTATCATTGCATCTTGCTTAAAGTACTAGCAGCACTTTTAAAAATACAGTTGATATACAATGTTATATTAGTTTCATGCAATCTACATGGTGATTTGAAATTCACATACATTAGGAATAATCACCATGGTAAGTCTAGTAACAATTTGTCTCCATACAGTTATTACAGTGTTATTGATCATAGTCCTTATGCTACATATTACATCTCTGTGTCTTATTATTTTATAATTAAAAGTTTGTACCTCTTAATCCCCTTCACCTACTTTGCCCAACCCTACACCCCCCCCCTCCCATCTGGCAACCACCGGTTTGTTCTCTTTCTCTATGAACCGGTTTTCATTTTGTTTTGATTGTTTTGTTTTTTATATTCCGCAAATAAGTGAGATATATATTGGGTTGGCCCAAAAGTTCATTCGGTTTTTCCATAACATCTTATAGAAAAACCCAGATGAACTTTTTGGTCAACCCAATAGTATTTGTCTTTCTCTGTCTGACTTATTTTACTTAGTGTAATACTGTCTAGACCCAACTATGTTGTTGGAAATTGAAAGATTTCTTTTTCCTTTAAATGTTCCATTGTATATATATACCACATCTTTTTTATACATTCATCTGTTGATGGACACTTAGGTTGTTTCCATATCTTGGCTGTTATAAATAATGCTTCAGTGAACATTGGAGTGCATATATCTTTTTGAATCAGTGTTTTTGTTTCCTTTGGGTAAAT